GTCCCCTACGTGCGATTGCACTTGAGTTAGTTATTCATTTTACGTTCTGGGGCTTTTAAAACGGAACAAAAACTCAACAAATCTTTTTGGATTCCGCTTGAGGTTCGCCACTTTCCCTTTTTGGAAGCCATCGTGGGCAAGATGCGCGAGGAAGACGAAGACAGTGACGTTCTACTGCTATTGTGTGATGAGTACTTGAGGCGCGAGGCAAACCTGGGCAGTGTCCGCCGTGAAATACACGAGGCCTTGATGGAGAGCACATGGCGAGCTGCAATGCGCACTCGTCATTACTTGACGGTGGGCTGTTTGGATGCGCCCTGTGTTGCCGCGTGGATGGCTCTCTACAGGAACGGCGTGGACTCAAACTTTCTGAATGCTACTAGTCTGACCAGGTACGTTACGGATGTCCGGTGTGTTATCGGGGGGGGGAGATCTAATTATATACCGTCACGTACTACACAGAGCTGCATTCAAGCACTTACTGCGCCGGTTTGCGCGCTACTACTACATCCCTCCAGCCAGAAGCAGAGGACGGCCGCCAAAATTGCGCTACCATCATCAGGCTCTAGGTCTCGTTCTCTGCTTCTACGTCGGGTCGATGGAAAACGGAACGCTGAGCATGTTGTTTGGGGTGCCTCCGAGCACTTTATCTCGGACGCTGCGCAAAGCCGAAGAGGCGCTGTCGTGTGCACTTCGGGATTTCTCCCCAGCGCGGATTTCATGGCCGTCACCTTCTCGCCAGAGAGAGCTTGCCAGCTTGGTGAACGCACGCGAGCCGTTGCTGGAGCATACGTTCGGGTTTATCGATGGAAAGAACTTCCGTGTAAGTACGACGTTGGATGCCTTGTAATATCTCTTGACTTGTAACGTGATGCTGTTACTATTTACGTTTGCAGGTGCAGCAGCCTTCTAGCTCCGACCTTCAAAACGCAATGTACAATGGATGGCTACACTCGGTTCTAGTTACGGGTACTATTTGTTTTGCCGCAGACGGCTGCATTATCTGGGCCAAGCATAATTGCCCTGGATCCTGGAACGATTCAGATACGTCTCTTGGTTTCCGCATGAAACTTCTGGATCCTGTGTATTGCCCTGACGAACGCATGAACGTTGTGTCAGACTCCGCCTTCCCGTGCTCCACGGCAATGACAGGCAGGATCCTGACTCCGCTGAAAGACGGAGATCTCGAGAGAATTGAACCGTCGCTTCGGAGTTCAGCGCGGACGCTGCACAACGCCATCACTTCGGTGAGGCAGGCTGCAGAGTGGGGAATGGGCAGCGTGCAGAAGGTCTATAGTCGCCTTAATGTGCCGCTACCCTACGATCCGAATCTCCGTGGTCTAAGGCTCAACAACATATTCCGTATGGCGAATTACCGCGTGCGGGCGGTGGGTATCTCGGAGATACGAACAACGTTTATGGGAGCGATGGAGATGACGTTGTAGCTCCAGCTGGGTGGTGGGGATTGGGAGAACTTGGATATGTTCATTTGCATGACTAGCTTTTACCCAAGAACGAATACAAGTGCGGTTATCGGACATTTTCAGCCGTGTCGGTGGTTGCTTGGCTCGCTACGGAGGGCTGGTTTCAAAATGCAACGCTACAAAATACACTTCCTCCCTCTCGGTCCATTCCCGACGGGTGCTTTCGGTTCTGCGAATCTGATCTCTTCACTCCTTCTTCACCAGAGCACTGATGAAGAACATCAGTTCCTGGGAGTGCGCACGGGCCTCCTCTTTATCGCGGCGAGCTCGTTCCTCCGTCTCCAGCTTCTCTTGCCGATGGCGTTCTTCGGCCTCCAGCTTCTCGGCGCGGTAACGCGCCTCGCGCGCCATGGCTTCATCGCGGCGACGCTGCTCTTCTTCCGCCCGGCGAGCTTCACCCCTACGTTCGCTATCCTCACGCATGAGGATCATCAGCTCGACAATATTTGTACCCATGGCCCCGGACGAGCTTTCTAGGTCACCCAAGCGCTTCTTCAGCTGTGTGGCCGCCTTGATAGCCTTCGCCCGCTTCACCTTGGCGTAACTCGCCTCGTGAAGGTCTTGGTCGTCGTCGGCATCTCGCTTGCGGCCAATGGTTCCACGAAACTCGGCAAGATTGCCCCCTCCAAGGCGGTTGGAGTAGCTAAGATAGCGCGTCGATTCCGCAGCACGGCGCGAACGATCGGCTGAGCTCTGCTCTTCGAGGACCGCAGTTGAGGTTGTGTTTTGCGATTGACTGGGCTTCGGTAGACCAGCAGAGCGAAGCTCGCGTTGAGTGGATCGGTCGGGCCCAGATGATGACCTCGGAGTGCTGGCGAATGCCTCCAACCCGTCATGAACAGCGGCAGACTCGAGGATCTTGGCGAAGCTACTGGCTGCGTCCGTGATGTTGATACCCGGCTCGTTGGGCAAACTGGGCAAACTGCTGGATCCCTCACGGTGAGGAGTATCGGTGTTGGAGAGGCTTCCACGGGCAGAGTCAGTCGTGTTGCTCACTGAGCTGGAGTCGTTGCCGATCCCGTCGTCTCCATCAAAGTTAAAGGAGAAATCTGGGTGCTGCTCACCCTCTTTCTCCTGTTGGTCATCTACGTCGGCTCCGTCGTCCATCTCCTCAACACTCGCCTTATCGTCGATACTTTGCTTGAGCTGTTTAGCTTCCTTCACGTGGGGAGGCATGTCAGCGACTTCCGTGGGCTTACGGATACTGTACAGCATCTTGAACTTGCGCCGGAGACTCTCGTAGTCGCGCTCGCCAATGCCCCGACCGCGGTTCGAGTTGTACATGCTGGCAAGACGCTCCCATTCGTCCTTACCAAGCGGCAAGAACTTAGCAACAAGACTCAGCAGGCGTTGCACCTCCGTGAACTTGTAGTTGGTGGATCCAGTTAGTTTAGCCATCTATCATGAATTAAACAGCAATTGATGAGACGTCAGTACGAAGTAGAGGAAGCAATGAAGAGATTGGCAGCGTACCGGGACTGAGCGCAAGAGGCGATCGAAGACAAACACTTGGTCGGGAACGGGGCTTGGACTTGCTCGGATGGGAGTAAAACCAAAAATGAGACTTCGGGGACGTCGTTCGCTGTGTCTGGAGGCCGCACTGTGGCAGCGCGCCCTAGGACGCGTGAGTAGCTAGCTATCACAAGGGTTCGCGCCGAAACGAGCGCGCGCTAACAAAGATCTACGAGCTCACGAACCATACAGTATGGAAGTCGCGTTTTGGCGCGAAACCCGTGCTTGCACAGCTTTCAACGTTGACGCTAAGCTTCGATATGTGAGGGAACCAGCTTTACTTCAACGTCCAAGTAGCATATCGAAGATGAGCATTTGTCTTTACAGTAGGTTTGTATGCACGGGCTACCTACACTCATCACGTCTCCTGACAGCACGTCGGCTACGGATCGCTCTGGTCCTGGATCTCACGATGACGACAGGAGGCGAGACCACAGCGGCACACGAACCAAAAGATCACCGCCATAGTCAACGGTGATCTCCTCTCCTTCACGTACGATCTCTGTAGTGGCGACAATAAACCGTGGCGCGGTGTCCGTTCGCGACCTCGAACAAACTGAGCGACCGGTGAACACGAGTGGTTCACAAAACGCATCAATCCACCCAATTTCAGCTGCGTTGATGGCGACACGAATCGGGTGGCTTGGCCTCTTCGGTCGTTGGGTCATCACCAACCGGAATCCTTCGTTCCCGTGGGGCGACGTGCTGGAATCCATGCTGACGTGCTCGAACTCGCCTAAGTACTGACCCAACACCTCGCCTGCATCAATGTCCTCAGCAGCGACTACAGATAACTGGAGCGTACGCGTGTTTCTCGCCAAGTACACCTTGGTTGATTCCTCCAGACTGTTCCCGCACTTGGCGTCGTATGGACAGCAGCTTGGGGTACAGTACAGCTGCACCAGCGAGTTCCTGCACGCCCCGACACGGCATGGCTCCGGACAGTCACACCAGCCGTAATGGGGCACTCTTGGGAATACCAACCCGGTCGGGTTGTACTGAGTACGGAGGTGAACAACACGTACCGGCCAGTCCGCTGGTACGAAGCGGTCCCGAGAGCGCTTTTCACGCGCACATGGTGGTGGTTGTGACGACTTAGGACTGGTCCTCATCAGCCCTCGAGGGTTCAGCGACGGAGAGGCAGCTTCACGACGGTGATCCTGACGTCGGTGATAGGGTTGAGCAGCTTCTCGACGCTCTCTCCGGGAACTACGACGATCACGCAGGGGGATCCGTGGCAGAGAGCGAGGAAGCGATGCTGGCGGTGTCTCCAGTAGCACTGGAGATGACGTCGTCGGACTGTGCGGCGGCCGCGAGTATGGCGGTGACGCTAGGGCCACCACTTCATCCGCACGCGGTGGAGTCACTTCAGGCTTCGGTTTTCGCGGCGGTGATAGCATCCCTGTAGAGCTGTAGCCATACTGCTCGCTAATAGTGCTCGATTGCGACAGGTTTGGAGGAGCGTTTTCATCCTCGGTCGACGAGTCGGCGATGCGCCGCCCGCTCCAGTATGAAGCCGAGTGAACCATGCTCTGAAAGTACAAAGATCGTCAGCAAGACTTAATGTAAGGCTTAGTGAACGTACCTTCTCAACAGCAGAGGCGCTTTGCTCCCAGCGGCCGATTTTCCAAAGTGAATGCTTCTTCAACTTGGCGCAAAAAATGAGATATGCCAGATACATGCAGTAGGAGTGATTGTGGATTGGGTCAGAGCGATGGTCAGCATTTTCAATACAAAATCAAAGATCTAGCCTTAAGATGGCTACAGAGATTAAACCTAGGGGTAGGGAAGGTTATGGAGACGACTTTTACGCCTCCGCCGGTTTTCGTATAGCAGCTTATATGTCGGGTGGTTTCTCCATTTTTGGAAGGCGTCCAATAATCGGGAGCCCTGCTCACATTGTACCTTCACAACAGGCTTCTTCCGTAGTACCGCGGCGTGAAAAAGCAAAATAAATTTATATTGACCGACGACGTGTTTTTCCTTTGGTACGAATCTGGCTGCTCAGATCGCTCGGAAGTCCTTAAACTTGTTCTCAATGTCCTCTTTGAGCTCTGGGTCCACGGCGTTGCGAACGCCGATGAGTGCCTTTGCTACAGCCTCCGAAGCGCCGATCATGGGGCGCGACACGAGCACAGGCACGGCACGGGATCAGCGAACGCACGAATCCTTGAGATCCCGTCTTCTTTGTACTCGACGAAGGAGAAAGCTACAATAATTTTGTGGCCACGTGCAAGTTCGCGTGACAGACAGACGAAAGCTTGTCCTAACCCTTCCGCAGCACTCGCCGGTTGCTGAGCTAGATACTGACGCCCTCCAATGCCTCCACCCGCGTCTTGCGCATTGCGAATACCACCACCGCCCATCCGTCTCGAGTTCCTTGCAATGCGACTGCCAGCCTGTCGGTACTTGAGCTGCTTGCGACGTAGAGCAGATGACGAGGACACCACATCGTCCGCATGTTCCAGTAACGCCTGGGTGCCTTGAGCCACCTTGGACGCCGTGTTCAGCGTCTCGATCGTCACCGACTTGAGAAAACTGGACGCTCCCTTCTTAATGCCACGCACAAGACGTCGATCGCGTCCATAGTGCTCCATCGGGAGTAAAATCAAGTCTGCAGCACCGGCGCCAATGTTGACGAACGGACGGAGCGGCGGCATCGACACGCTCGCGACGCACTTGTGGATCTGCCGACGTGAAATGTCCTGCACCCACGACACCAGCACATTCTCTCCCAACGCCGCCCACCCGTCCAGGCCACTCATCTGCACACGTCGAAGAACCAGCTCCATGCCTTCGAGAACGAATAAGTTAATCACTTCTAAGTAGTCGCCAGCTCGCAAGGCCGCGTAGTCGACGTGGTTCGGTCGGTAGTCGATCTTGATCTTGCACGGCTTGATGTCGATACTCTGGAAGAACCACGCGCCAATGCTCAAACTGGCCTCAACAGCAGTCGCAGCCTCTCCAATTGGCTTCATCTCCATCCCTCCTTCGTGCATCGTTATTTCCACTTCATCATCAGTCTCATCCGGCATGGCACTGATCTGTCGCGTTAGGCGCTTCTTGGGCGCTGGCGTCTCCTCTGTGGGCACAAACTGCCGCAGGAACTTGACAACCTCCTGGTCTAGATTGATCCGTAGCGGCAGTAAGCGAGCCTTGAGACGATGCTCCTCGCACAGATTGGGGCCCGGTCGTACCGTGATCAACTGCAGCCGCACCATCGAGCTGCCGCTTTCTCGTGGATGACTTGCTTCAGACTTCCAGTAGCAGATAATCTTGCGGATCTGAGACGTCGAAATGTAGTCCAGCAGCTCCACGTCGCCCAATGCCAACACCGTGTGCGATGCCAGCGACTGCGTCTCCGCCTCGTTGAACAGATCAAGCCGTAACTGGATGCGTGTCACCACTAGCTCCAGCATCTCCTCTGTCTTGCGGCCACTTTTCTTCAAGGAGCGCTTGCGAGACGGCGTGCTGTCACTAGATGCCGCTCTTGTCGTTCTCGTGGCCGGGTCACGCTTCATAAACGACGTTGTCGGTGCGCTTTTGGCTGCCGTAAAGAGAGAAGAGCTGCTGTCGTTTACAAAGAGATCTCCGCCATCTGAAGGCACGTAGTTGTCCAGTAGAGCGTCCAATAGTTTCTCCTTCTTCGCTGTAGCACTGTCAGGCTGCTTCTCCTTCGACGTGTCTTCAGCGTGGCTATCCTTTGAAGGGTGAAGACTCACAGCGTCGCTCGCATCACGCGTCCAGTCACATCCACCGAAGAACCGCATGCAAATGTTAAAATTCCGCAGTAGAACGTGCTGTACGACAATCGGAGATGTCGCCTCCACTTTGCGTGCCGCGCTCTCCCGTGCGATGGATCGAATGGCATCTTCGCACTCCTTTTCACCGAACGATAGCGATGTGGCCGAGCCACCCACTGGAATCTCGACGTGATGCGGGTAGATCCGCGACGGAGGGCCAGTCATAGGGGGCCCACCGTCATCAGACCGTTGGTCGTCATAGAACCAGCGTGCTGTCGGCTGATCAGGTGGAGACGCTGTCGGTATACCAAACGAAGACGACGGTGCACCGGGATGGCTTCTGGATGAAGAAAAGGACGCTTGTCGCGTTGGGATAGCACGTGGAGACGACGTCACGGAGGAGTCTTGTTGCATTTGCTGGAGCGTGATCTGATCTCCGTCGTTCTCATCGTCCTCATCGTTCTCATCGTCCAAATCATCAGCCTCCTGGTCGTTAGTCGAGTCCATGTCAAGAATTCGGTTAAATCGCGACTGCAGGTCACCATCAAGTCCAAAATCCAGTTCGATCTCCTTGCCTTGGTCCTCTCCGACATCAATAATCGACATGGACATCGCATTGGGGAACACAGAGTTGCCATGTCCGTCGTCCATCCCCGCCTCGCTGAATGTTTGGTGGGCCACACTTCGGTCTTCCATAAGGTCCATTCGATGCGAGAAGATAGACGCGGTCTCTTCCGTCTGTAGATCGCTAAGCTCCACTTCATCAGGCAAGTTCTGCATGCCCCACCAGTTCTTCGAGGCAGCCGGGAAAGCGCCCATGGGGAAGTGGTTCGCATCGAAATCGTCCACGTCGTCGTCGTCGTCCTCGAGGTCGTACGCGTTGTCACTGCCGTAGTCTACACTCGCCTGGCCAACGCTAGGTGACACACTCGCGGGTTGGGGAGCAGCAGCCTTCTCTTCCACTGGTTCAAAAAGAGGAAAATCTACTTCACTCCTCGGCGTTCTATCCCCAGCGTTGCTAGTCGTTCCACCAGGAGCAAGCCACCGCGCTGCTTGCTCGTTAAACGGCATCGCTGTCTTGTCAGGAGACGAGTCCACACTTGGCGGGTTTGTCGGGGCTGACGAGAACCACGAGTCCTCTCCACTTGTGTTCCCTTGAGCTTGATCCTGGTCACGCTCTGGTTCCATCAAGAAAGCGCCAGCCGACTCGTCTCCATCTAATACTCGACTCTGGGAATAATAGTTCTCAATCACCAGCTCGTTAATACGAACCGGCTTTGCAGACTTCCGTCTTTCCTCTTGTTGGTACCTCAGTCGCAACTCCGATGCAGAGAACTGGTCGTCGTACTCAACACCGTGAACCATACGCTCCTTCTCCCTCTGAATCGAATCCATGCGAGTACGCAACAAGCGAGCTTCTGTATCCGTAGCCACAATTTTCCCCGGGAAGATCTTCTTTCCCCCTCCGAAAGCGTCTTCATCGATTTGTTCCAAGATGTTTATGAGGCCTCGACTGGAACCTCCATTGTTGTCGTCGACAGAAAAACGTTCACTCCGGACACTGCTCGTACTTGAGAAGTCTTGCGCTGAAGGCTCCGAAGCACCAGTTCCTATTGCCCGCATGCCGCCAGCAGGGGCAGGACTCAAGTTCGTGACAACTGACACACTGGACGGGTCGCTCTCTCCATCCAGACCCACATATGCAGTCGTGTCACGTGGCTCCTGTTCAACTGCAAGCTGGTCTGTCCACACTGACAGCACCTCGATCAAAGTGTTGAAAGAATCAAAGCACGCGTAAATATTGGCTGTGCCCAGATTCAGCTCCACTGACAGCTCTGGAGAAGCTGATGCTGTTGACGCTTTCTCTTCAAGCTGACCTCTCGACGCAGATGCGACCTCCAGCGCCGTCGGCGGGACCAGCACGCGCAGGAAAACATCCACAAAATCCATCGTAACAATCTGCAAGAAGCCAAATCTCTCCAAGAACGTTAGCAACGAAGGATACTCTGCGTCCAGACTGCCGCTGCCGGCATACGTAGTTGCAAACTTGAGAGCCTTCCTCTTCGAGCTCTTGGCGTTGCCACGGAGGAAAAGATCATTGCCCAACAAAACCTCGTCAATCTCCTCGTATCCAGCACGCGCTTGCGTCAAGAAGAGCTCCAAGTCGCCCACAGAGATCTTGTAGCCCTGCATTACGGCACCCGTGACGACGTTCGAAGACACGCTAACTTTGCCCAGCACGAGAATCACACGTGACGTCAGTGTGAGTGGAGCGTAATCGACTAGAACGTCGTAGAAGTTGACAAACAGCTTCGTGAACACCGTCTTCGGTGCTGTTGCCAGCGGTACAGCATCGTAGTTTGCTCCACATTTAATCATCTCAAAGAACTTCGTACTCTCGTCATCCGACATACTGGCCGAGTCCAGCGGGATAATCGGGACGGGGTATTCCATGAGCAGCATATCCAGCATCTGAAACAGCCACTTGGAGCGCACATCGTAGCGCAAACTGAGGTGCGAGAGATGCAGTTCAACTTTCATCTCGCGCATCTCGTTCGTCTGGTCTGCAATATCAACTCCCATGAAGAAGATTGGAGCTTTCGAGACTCCAAACGGCGTCTTGTAGAGAATCGGCACAACAGTATTTGAGCGTCCATCTTCTTCCAGTAACGTCGTGTTCTGGGCGAGTACGTGGACACGAGAGACCAGTTGTCCCATCCACTGAGAGACCTGGAAGACCTTCAGAGTCTGGAAAGCGAAGTGGTACGTGAACAGAACCTTCTCCGGCCCATCGAGTGTCTCTTCCTCTGCTATATGCACAGCAGACAGGTTTGCACCTTGAGAAGACGGAGATGGAGGCAAAGAAACGTAGTCACATATCCGGACAGTTCCTTCGCCCAGCGTGAGATTCATACTCATGTAGCTGGGCATCAATCGATTTCGAAGGGCCGCCACAGCAAGCATCTGGTTGTAGCTGTCGACATCGATCGGATTGATCATCAAAAGCGCGTCAAACAGCACCATCAATCGGTCCAGAGACGACTTGAGCAAAACTGCGTTGGCATGTGGGAGTCCAATTTCCACGGAATATAGTGAAGCTGCTGCTGCCGCGTTCTCGTAGGACTCTGCACGCCCCAACGCATCCAAGTTCCAGCCATTTAGTCCCACTCTCCCACCATCATTATCATCCCCACTAACGTCGTCAGGAGAGCTATTAACATACGCACCATCGGGACTTTGACTGGCATCTTGTGACAGATTCTGCTTGCTAGCAACAGCCTCCTTCATTTCTTCACGCGACGGCGCTTGAAGACGCAGACGAAGAGTGCATACGTCTCCTGACCGCTCGTCACTGGAGGCAGTAACAAGTACCGCTTTCTCCAATCGAGAACTTCGTTGATTGCCATCTTCGGGGGTCAATAACGACACCTTCGCACTGTCGAAAGACGCATCAAATTCTGCCAACCACGGGAGCGACGTTCCCTTCCTGTACTGAGGCGGCATCGGGGCTCGTTTGTCAGCTGCTTCATCATCTTTACGCGGAGATACGACACGACCTTGACACTCTCCAACGTCATCACAGTCTATCCTCGCAGAGACCACGCTTCGATGACGGACCAAAGCGATCAGGTCGCTGTTAACCATTGGAGCGCAGCGTCATCTGTACGCACTCCGTTGTCATGTCGAACGTCTTTGCAAGCTCTTTGGCTTCAGCCCGTGCCGTTGACGCTGCTTTTCGCTTTGATGTCGACGTATCGTCTTCCAGAAGAGCTAGAAGACGATGTGCTCGATCTAGCAGATACATGTCCCATTCAACGAGAACGGGTTGAGCATTTACTCGCACTCCAAGTGATGAAATCGTCGACGAGGTGTCATCGTCCGATGCAGGCTTGAAGCCGATCCGCAGCTGGGCTGATACATTCGCCGATAAATTCACTTTTCGACCGGAAACTGGAGAAGTGTCAGCAAATCTCAGCACACACGTCGACAGCATGGCCGATTCATCCTCTTCGGCATCCAACGACATCCGCGGGAGCGTCTTTTCCGTGATTGCGACCTTGCCAATTGTAAAGGCAAGTAAGGAATGCTGAGAATACGCTAGGGTTGAGAAAATAATGTCCTTCAACGAGATCTCCAAGCGCTCGAGACCATCAACCGATGGCAAGGGCTTTGTGGGCCTCACAGGGGCACGGAGGAAGCGGCTGTCAGTCATGGAGCCTTCGGCTTCTCGTTCACTCAGTGAATCTTCGACTTCTTCCTCTTCCTCCTCTTCGTCGTCTGGGAGATCATCGTACAGCAGGACACACTCGCACTCGAGCAGATGGACTTTAACTCGCGACTGGACTCGACGTGCTGCTCGATTCTGCGCAGTTGTGGACCACGTCAACTGAGATCGATCGTCACGCCTGCTTTCCGACTCGTTCTCGTCAAAGCTGTATCGCGCCGACGCGTACATCGATTGGCCCAACTTACTGGAGCTTGCAAGCGATCCAAATGGAGCAATGGAGCTAGCGAGTCCTGTTTCACACTCGAAAAAACCGTCCTCCTCGTCATCCAAGTCCGACAATCCAATGCTCTCGACACTCTCTGCTGCCGAGAGCTTCCGTGTCTTGAAAAGTGCTCGTCTCTCTGTTGTTGCCGTGTCCTCTTCAGTTGAGCTACGGCGTCGCTGCGCAGTCTTCAGTTCATCTTGGGTCTGTCGGTACTGTAAAAGCAGCTGCTCAATGCGCTGGAATTCCCTAAACGACAGGTTGAGAGCTCCTCCCTCGTCATCGTCCTCACCGTCATCACCCCCAGTCAACCACGCAGGTCGGTCAGCACAAATGGACTGGAACATCGCTGTCGACGTATAACGATCATCCAACTGGTGGCCGTTCAGCTTGACAGGGTCCGTCGAGAACGCATCAACGATTTTGCCAAGCTCTGGGAAGTATTGAGGCTGCAACACGATGCGAATCGAGTGGAAGAACACGTCTGCGTCCATCGCGGGCGCCTCTAATGCCTCGTAATGGGACAGCTTGACCTTAATGTAGTTCTGTTTGTTGGAGTCACTCGCCAGGAACGGATGCAGCACCATCTCGCTGTATTCCGTGCGTCGTCGCTCCGTCCACCGTTCTTCCTCGTCTTTTTCCTCACTGCTGAGGTGTAAATCCATGCTGATACCGCGAAACATAATTCCTTTCTGAGAGATACCGAACAACGTACTGGCCGCCATGGACTGCACTCCGGCTCCCATCGTCTGAGACCCATACATTCCTGCAGAATGGTCCAAGCTACTTCGTCCGTAAACACTCTGCATTTCCGCCGCCGACTCGTCCGTAAACTGCGCCCACTGCAGCTTACACAGCAGCGCCACATCGCGTCCATTGTGCTGTTCTCCCGTCTCCAGCCGCAGACAAATATTCGACAAGGTGACTTTGATCTTGGACGTGACCTGTTCGATCCAGCTGGCCACAAAGTCGAGTCCTTCCTGCGAGATCTCGTCCACTGGCTCCGGCGCCAAGGGTTTCTTCTCTTGCTTGTCTTGTTTCTGCTCCTTCTCCTCTGGTTCTGTGCAGCTCGGTCTTGTCTGGGCCTCGTCCTTCTCCAAAGGCACCAGAATGATCTCGATATCGTCGATCTCCACTAAGCAGCTCTCGCTCATAATGTTCGCGTACGAGATAGCCCACTCGGACAGACCCCAGATAGCCCTTTTTGACCTTAAAGGGCAGCCCTTGGGCCTCACAGAGCTCGGCATTCCAGCACCTCGGCATTAAGCAGCAGATCACACAGCTCCAGCCGGCCAGAGCGAAGATGCACGTCCAATTGGTCCAAATCCAGCTCATCTGCCGCCAGGAAGCGGCCGATCATGCGCTTGAGCACGAACTTGTACAGTCGCTTGAGCGCCGGGTCCGTCAGCTGCTTGAAGAATTGCATCGTGGAGTTCGCCGCTACAAAATAGTTGATTCTAAACTTCTAGCTGCAAATTAAGGGCTCTCGCACTGACGAAATAAGCCTGGCAGGTTAATAATAGACGCAATTGTTAGTGCCACTAAGGGAACAAGTTGCTTCTGCAAGTTTGCGACAACATTGCCGTCTCTGGAGCGCAGAAAAGCTGGTGCCATACGGAGGATACTTTACCTTCTTGCCGTCGCTGTCGAGAGCTGATCGTAGCGCCCACAGGAGCTGCTCGTGCCGCGTCTTCCTGCCTGCCCGCCTCCTCCTCGCGGCCAGTTTTGGGTTGTTCTCACTGTCTAATTGGAAGAAGAACAAGGGGTGGGTTTTCGACCAATGGAAACGAAATTTCACTTTCGCCTGTCCACGATTGGCAAAAAAGAGGGCCACACTGAACGTTGGTCTCGTGAGTGTAGGGCTCTTCTCCATGACGACGTGTTGAAGAAAGAAGGCAGCAGCGGCAGTGCTGAAATAACAAATCAAGTGAGATCTGACCAGACAAGGTCAGATCTAGACAAGATTAATATTTCGAGCAAATTCTGGAAAGAACTTTTCAAGCATAGATACCGGTATGCTAGTAATTGATGAAATGATTTAGTAGAGCTAATTATCTTTGCTTCTTACGAGCTTGCCTTGGTCTTCAGCCCCGAGCTCCCCAAGAACGAGTCCAAGGTGGCGTGGATGGCATCGTGATGTGGTAGCTTCTTCATGCGCTCCATCCAGGCGGAAACGTTCGGATACTTGGAGAAGTCGAAGATGCCCATGAGTTCAATCTGAACAAACTCGCAGTAGGCAGCGAAGTCTGCGACCGTCGGGTGGTCGGTCTCGGCCACAAATTCCTTCACAAGGAATATCTCCATTAGCGTCGCCAGTTTGGTGAGGAGAGCGGGCGTGTCCTTCACGAACTCAGCCTCCTCCGGTGTTGCAATGTTCTGCTTGGCGTGCATGATCGGCACCAGCACTTTGGACGTGATGAGACGCGTGTTCGTATGGTGCCAGTGCAAATACTGGTTCACCTTAGCGTGAGCCTGAACGTCGGTTGGATACAGATCCGACCAGCCCAACTTCTCAGCCAGGTAAGGCATGATAGCATTGCCCTCAAATAACGAAAATTCTCCATCTTGTAGAACCGGGATGAGACCGTTAGGGTTCATCGCCAAGAACTCCGGCGACTTGAACGTAGGGCTGCCAAACTCCGTCATCACCAGCTCGTGGTCCTGCTTCTTTAGTCGCAGGACCCACTCTGCCGCGCGACTCGGCTGGCTAATCAGATTCGCATACAGTTTGATGGTCATCTCTTCTTCGTTTCTTTGGGCAAAGAAGTCGAATTAACCCTTATTGATCTTCAATAAAATCAAGATGGCTATAGTTCTTTTAAGTACGACTGCAGATTTGAAATGGTGGTGGATTTAGCCGCCGTCCAGCCAACGCAGCATCACTCGAATTCATCTGGTCCGAGCCAACATCCGTCCCAAGACTCGCAGTATTGCTGCTTAATGCGTCACACGGCTCGTGGTGCGTCACTGAACAGGGCGTAGGTTTGCATAGCTCCGAACTCTTCTGGAACTTGTGGAGCAATGCAGAGCTCACGGTGTGTGCAGATGGAGGCGCTAATAGACTGTACGATCGCGGTGTGGAGCTTGAAGTGCAGCACCGAGTAACTCCGCATTTCATCAAAGGCGATCTGGACTCACTACGTGCCGACGTACGCGAGTTCTTCTCAGCCAAAGGGACGACAGTGTTGAGAGATCCTGATCAGAATACGAACGACCTGGACAAGTGTCTGCAGTTGATCTACCAGGAGCAGGAGAAGGAGGACGAGAAGTTCTCCGTCATGATCTTTGGAGCCATGGGCGGACGGTTTGACCAGGAGATGCAGAACATCAACGCGCTCTTCAGGTGGAAGGACAAGTTCGAGCAGATGGTGTTGCTGTCCGACGAGACCACCGCCAGGCTGCTAGAGCCCAATGTTCGACATGTGATCACACCCAATTTCTACTTCGAAACGCGGACTTGTGGACTGATTCCGGTGGCGGGAACATGTGAGGAGACGATGACAAGGGGGCTCAAGTGGAATTTGAGCTCAGGGATGGAGACAGGCTTTGGTGGGCTTATAAGCAGCTCCAATCTCGTGGATGATGCATGCAACCAGGTGGAGGTTGTGGCATCGCGTTCACTTATCTGGACTACCGAGCTTAAGAAAGAGTAAAGGTAATAAATTTCTCCAGGCTCGAGTCAATACATCTTTGTGTGTTGGGAACAGGGATTACTATTTCCTTGCTTGCTGCGAGAGTAAAATATTACGTAAGCTTAGTACTTCAAAGTAGTAATTAATTAACTGGAGCCGACGCCTGAAGACTACAATGACGCGACTGTGACGTGGTAGCCGACGCTCATTTTCTGCAGGAGCTCTCTTGACAGGGCTAGTCCTTGGATATCGGCACGAATGCTCATAACTAGGGCTGGAGCGTAGGCTGGGATAGCAATAAATCGACGGTACGTGCAAATCCTGGTCCCTTTGCTCGATCGACAGTCTTATAATGCACATGTATACAATGTATATTGTAGTATTTAAATATATAAATTGTAGACCGTTGCATATTGACGCACATGACTGTAAATGCATTAACAATATAGAGGGGAGCCCTAAGCCGAGACGAGAGGTGAGAATCGTTCGTCGGATCTCGTGAGGCGTGGTCTGGCCAGCGGAAAAGATACGCGGCATTGTAAACGATTCCGCCCGACGACGTGTACAAGTGGTTGGCGGCATCAATAACGTCTTTCAAGAAGAGAGCATTCAAATTGTCGATACGCGCATCGCGCCAAGTTTCGGCCGTGTCGCCGCCCTCTCAAACGGCGAGAACGGGACGCTATCTCCCACCAAAGAAAGCAGCCTTAGTAGCCCTGCGTTAAGGCGTTTTGCCTCCGTCGATTCCGGAGGGATGGTTATCGGCCATCCCAGTAATGCAGAAAGTGTTCGGAGTAACGTTGGGAAAAAGGCCCGGACGGAAGACGGCGCCGAAGCCCGTACGAAAACATATCTGGAAACCCTATCTAATAGCTTCTGCATCTCTCGACCCATCCCCACAAATGCGGACCTACCGCGTTTTATGGGAATTCCGGCGCCCTCATTGTCCTTCCCCGGGCCGTGTGTCTCCGAAAGTAGCAGCCATAGCATCTTTTACTCTCGTGAACAACCGCCGGATCGCTTTACCTAATATTCGGGAGAACAGCCGACGAGCGAACAATCACTGTGTCGTCCACACCGCTCAAACTGTCATCGCGTCCGCCGCTATCACCCTCTGTCTCTTCGTCAATAGCAGATACAACGGCAGACTCAGAAATATGAACACAGGCTCTGACGGAGGAAGCCATCGCCCTCAGAATCTCCCGCCGCTTGGGGGTATCGACAACCTGAATGCCCTCTTCTCGAAAGACGTTATTGATGCCGCTCAACACAGCCAACCACAAGTACACTTCGTCGGGCGGAATCGTATACAATACCGAGTTTCTTTTCCGCTGGCCAGACCACGCCTCACGAGACCCGACGAACGTCACACGAGGTATGCCGCTAGAATGCACATTTGGTAGCTCCCGGGCAAGCTCAAAAAGTCCATTTGTGGGGGAGCAGATCGCGTGGCCCCTGAACTGTCTACCGGACAACGAAAGCTCGAGCCTGAAGCATCGAGCAGGAGATATGCACCACAGTGCGTCGTCAGTCAAAACCGGAAGCATCGCGATACGCCCATAATCGTGACCAGCCGCGACGCTAAATTTGTTCTTACGTGGATCGCTTTTGCATTTGTGACAAAGAGGATTTTTTTCTCGATCTCGCACCAGCTCGGGTATCAAATAATAGATGTCTTCTTCGAAAAAAATTAAGCTGTTGATAACATCGTAATGCCGGCTCCGGTATTTCTTTAAACAATAACTCCCGCTCGGTAGTAGGCAAGAGAACAGTATCCAGTTGCGACAGCGATGAAAACGGGACACCGTCCGAATCTGTTTGCAGCAAAATCCGTCCACACGCCACACAAGCCCAAACGGAAGTTGCTTCGGACCCGCATTGACGCGACTAATTGCTGACACTCAGCAATATCGCGGGGACCGGGGAAAGTCACCGAGCATCGGCCGAAAACCCGCTCTCGCGCCGCCACTCCGGCTTCCCCGCGGAGATTCTCGTCCTCGAAAACAAAAGACGCAGGGTCGACGCCATAGCAATGATAGTAGGCCAGTGCTAGACGCGGATCTCGCAAATAATGCTGGCTCTCAGCGAGCCATTCGATCTCGCTCATAGTCAGGGAGGGGGCATCCAGTACACGCTCGCTTAAGTCTCGCGAGACGTCTGTCTGTGTTGTATTCTCGGTCACGTTGGCGAGGCCGTCTCTCCCTTTGTTGAGTATTTCTTCTTAAACGTCTTTCCTCGGCGAGACATCAGCTACCAGATATTCCAGCATCTGCACTGTTTTCCTGGTTGCGCTGGCGAGCTCGCCTCTCTCTCTGCTGAGCGTTTCTCCTCACAAGTCTTTCCTCTGCCAAAGCCTCGGTGTATTGTCGCTCGTGCCGGTGAGCACGCCACCCCCTCGGCCGAGAAGCCCCCTCTCCTTCGTCAGCACCAACAGACCGTTGATCAGCCGCGCAGTCTCCATGGTCTTCGTGATCCAGCCACGCTCGTCTCCGCTCCATACGCTTTGTCGCATGGGGCTTGCTCGAGCCTGCACCGACGCGACGGACTGAAAATGACGACCTTTTACGCCATCAATCCTGGGGCAAGCATCCATGCTTCCCTCAATTCACGGGATTGACAGCTCTAAGTATTCACCGGATTGACAGCTCTAAGCAATTTTGAGATACTGGTATTCTACCGCAGTCTGAAAACCGGCTTCAGTAACCGGTTTCACATTAATCCGGCTTGGCTATTCAGGCTATCCCAGTAAAATATACTACAGTATTACTGTAGTACTACGGATAATAAATAAATGAAAATTTATACCACAGTTTTATTGTTTTCTGTCAAATACTTAGTAGGAAGTAAATTATTGATATTCACCGACACTTTCAGTGAAATCAAGAGATCATTTTTTAATTAAATCAAAGTCACAAAACAGCTTGCGTTTCTATAGAATAGTGGGCACAAGGCATTTTTTGGTAACGCTGTCCATTGAGCTCTCCACTTTGAATTTACTAGACACTAACTAACAGTTAGTTCAAAAACTGCACATGCTAGTATTAACTCACCATAAAGAGTTAGTTAAGCCATCTATTGTTCTCCGATCCCCCACGTCGTTCTGGAGCGCCTAGAATTTTAGCGTAGCTTGGTCAAGCTTCCCGATACTCTTCTCTCTCAAGCCAAGTCAATTACAGATTTGCGCCATTGTGTGCGCGTTCATTCAAAGAACCGCGCACGGAAATTTTAAGTAGAGCGCACAATATTTCTTTCGTTTCGACCATGGTGCTCACAGCCAACGTTCCATTCAGCTTCTGCGAGTCGAAGGCCGCTGCCGACTGCGTGAGCATCGACGCTCTGTCGACCGACAGTCTCGTGAAGTACATGACGCTACTAACTCGTAAGGTCGAGATCGTAATTGCCGATATCCTCCCTAAATCGTTTGGTATCATTTTTGACGGGTGGGCTTTTCGGTCGGAGCACTTCGTCGCGATCTTCGCCTCCTTTCACCACGACGGGCAGAGTGAAAACGTGCTGCTCGCCATGGCCCCATTGGTGTGTGATGATGTGGACGACCATACGGCCCCTGCACATGTGTCTTTCATAGGGGCTATACTAAAGTTCTTCAACAAGTCAACCGACAGCATCGCGTACATCGTTGGTGACAATTGCAGTGTAAACTGTAAAATTGCTGAGGAACTTAATGTCCCTTTGGTGGGTTGCGCCAGTCACCGCCTCAACCTGGCCGTGAACCTCATGCTCGCTGAGCACGATCACCTTCTTGATCAAGTCCAGGCCATCATGATCAAGCTAAAGAACTCCCTGATCGCCGCTGCTCATTTACGGTAAGTCCCCTTCTAACCTTACACTACTCTGCGATTGAATTCTAATATTATATATATATATATGTTTTGTATTCAGCCGAGTGACCACCTTGCGTCCGGTACTTCGTCAGGGACTCGCTGGTCGTCTGCATTTGCGATGGGCCGCCGCTATGTAGAGCTCAAGGAAGTAATGAATAAGATTGATGACGATGAGATAACGTCGATGCTGCTCTCCCGTCGTGACGAGAAGGCTCTTGTGGTGCTCTAGAGAGCCTCAAGAAGTTCGAGTCAACTTCGAAGCAGCTTCAACAGACTGATAGTGTGACGCTGCTGGATGTGCGCGACCTGTTTGACGTCTCAATCAAGTTGGCACCAGACGTCAAGAAGTACCTCGCGCCTGACGCATCGATCGTCAAGCGCCCCGCGTTCGAGAAAGCTTGCGTCCAGGGACATCTCGGCAACGAGGCAGCCATCCCAGAGGAATCGTCGGACGTGCTTGTCAAGCTCGTGTCTGGTGGTACCCGACCCACAGATAAAGAGCCCCCAGCCAAGGCTGCGAGAGAGGATTTCGCGAAGGACACACTTGTGGAGGCACGTCGCCAGCGGGATAAAGTACCACGCTTCAACGACCACGTAGCCTGCATCGCGCCGACGTCTAGCCTTGTAAAGCGCTTTTTCAGCCAGGCGAAGGCTGTGCTGGGAATATACCGCCAGAGCATGACCCCGCTGCACCTGGAGTCGATTCTATTCCTCAAGGTGAACCGAGCCTACTGGAACGCTGCCACAGTCCGGAAGGTTGTGCGTGGTGAGGCTCCCACCAACTAGATGAGTATCAGCCCACTGTATATTGCATGCAATAACACCAATAATTTTTGCAGCCGTGGTGCTCCAAGCACTTAAGTTATTTTTATTGCTGTTTTGCCAGTCTCAATAAAAATAACATTCTCGGAACCCCTGCTGATGACTTCGCCAAATGATGGATAGCACTTTGTAAATTCATCTGGCTATTCGACTAAGTACGGAGGGTTGGATACATGTACCTACAGTGAAACAGGCCGACTGGGTAAAACAAATCCTCAATTTTGCCATAATTATGAATACTTTTGATTCCTTATTGGTCTAAATCGGTGTTGGGTGCGCCGTTTTTGCTACCACCCCTGATTTGCTGGTACCAGTTAGATTCTGTCCACCCTGCTATGAAGGTCAACTAGTGCATTTCTTTGTTGCAATGTCCGAGCACTGATTGGC